TGCTTAGCCTCGCAGTCTAAGTAAGAATTCAGATCGCCAGTCAGAGGGAGTTCTTCTATACTTAGAGAAGGGAGGAGATGTCAGGGGCAGCCCTGCTTACACACTGAAGGCCTAAAATCAGCCATAGGCCTAAAATCAGCAATAGGCCTGTCATACATGTATACTAAAACCAAGTCTTGGGTCTCAGTGGAAAAACATTGAAACAGATGGCTATAAGCTAATATAAACAGGCAGCTTTTGTGGAAATTTACCAGCCTGAGTAGTCATAGACCTTGTAAATAGGTAGCCTTGGTAGACAATACCAACTTAGTTAAGGACAAGTGAGTCATAGGCAGAGTCATAGAGACCTGTCCCCCGAACCTTCACCCAGCCGATACCCGGTTCTGAAAGATATCTGTATTCCCCCTGAACACCCACACTCCAGTGTCATCCCCTTCCCCACATCCTGCCTTTCTGTGTTTATAATCCCTGTGTGAATGAATTACGATTTGAGAAAAAATAAATAAATTATTTAAAAAAAAATAAAGAGCTCCAATTGGTGTTTAGTACTAATCTTATTTAGCACATGCAACACAAATGTCTCCTTGAAGGGTTCTCCTTTCAGTATTGTGCTGTTGGTTCTATGGAGGACAAGCCCAGGCTTGACATTTTCAGATGCCATGGGTTTTGGTATATTTCTTTCAGGTAATGTTGGCAGGGCAGGAGAGGTGGGCAGAGTTGGTCATATATAAGTATTCACTCCACTAACCCTATGCCCAGGTCACTGTGAGCCCTATGGATCTGTACCCATAGTTCTAGCTAGCCTCTGCTGGGAGCAGAGGTATTAGTGACTAGATTTGTCTTCTATCTGGAACTTGAACTTGGTCTTTCTGGGACTCTATCTACTGAGAGAGTCTGGACTACCCCTAACATGTTGTGTCCCATGCTTCCTGATCCCCATTAGTATCATGCCCTCTTGTCTGGACTCAACTCTGCGAATCTTGAAGCCCCTGTGAATGCCATCATGTGCTGGGTTCAGTGTACCAGGGAAACTAGTGAATGTGAGCATGTCCCTGCTTTCTCCACATTTCCAGTCTAACATGTATAGCTAACTGTGGAGCCCTGGGAGTTGGGAGCAGCATTGTATGGGGGCATAGATTATTTTCTAAAAGATTTTCTTTGGCTTTCCTTACATTTTCTAAGATAATGATTTGTAAAAGGCTTATCATGTTTGGATTTAGGGCCCCCTCAGGACTCCTTCCCAGCTTGGGCAGAAAGTGTACCAGTATTAAGCCCTGCATTTCAATGTGTCCATCTGTGAGAGATTGTAATGAGCACTTGATGGATATCAGATGACATAGCTGATTTATTAGTAACATTCTCTAGAGAAACAAAATTGTGTGTATGTATGTGTGTTTTCAGGAATTGATGCCCATAGCTTTGTAGCAGAATAGAGCCAGTGTGTCTGATATTTACTCCTGAGTGATGCCCACTTGGGCCCTGGAGTAATCTCTTATAACTAGTCAGTGATCATTATCTAAGATTTATGGGAATTTCAGACCCTTAGTATGACTTCAGTCATAAGACATTTCTGGAAAACCTGAAATTCTTACAATGGTTGTGTTTGCTTAGGTAATTGTTTCCTATGACAACTCCCAGATCAGATAGGAGGTTTTGGTATGTGGGAATTGACTTACTAAAAGGCCTTGTGTGTAACAATCAATAGAATTTTGTTCACAAGGTGGTTTCTTCAGTTCATTAGCTCTGATGCCCTGCTGCTAGCAAAAGCCTGTAATACACCCTGCAGTGTCTTTTTGTTTTTCCACTTGACTGGACTGGTGTAACTCAGACATGGACAGCCTGAGGACGGCAAGCTCAGAATCTGCAGGGGCTGTCAGGATGGAATTGCTGTTAAGTTCAAAGCCATTAGCCTGCAAAAGTTCTTATTGTTCAGGGGAACTCAATCTTTGCATGTACTTCAGTAAGCTAGATGAAGCCATCCGTATCATAAAAGATAATACATATTATTTGAAGTCCATGATTTAAATATTAATCTCACCAAATTATCCACAAAATGGGTAAGGTTGGACCAAGTCCCTGGGGTCTTGGGGACCAGCCACGTAGACGCAGAGACATCCTCATTATGCTGGCCTCTCTGCTTCCAGTGGTTGCTTCATTATCATTTCATGTTCAGTGAAACCTGGAGATCTGTGGGCTCCCTCCAAAATCACAGAAGCCACTTTAGAGGGTCTTAGGAGCCATGGAACAGGTCAAGCACTCTGAAAGCTAAGATGCTTTTAGAACATCAATAAGTTTGAGCTGGAAAAAGCAGTTCTGAGGCAGTTCTAAAGTCAGTCTGTATAGGTGGATACACAGTGGCCATAGACAGCCTCCCTGGATGGGCAGGAGCCAGAGGAGAGGGGTATTTTTTGGTATTAAAGCAGGGCAGAAGTATCTGGATAGGAGACAGCCTTCTACACAAAGACAGATGAATCAATATTGTGGGGAATGATTAGCTCATGTGTGGACGCAGGCGTGGGTTCTTGAATCTTGTTGGGCTGTTGTGATTTCCATGGCTCCAAAGAGACTGGGGTGTGGGAGTCTTGACTGAGTTTACTCCATGCATGGCACTGGGTGGGCACTACAGGGCCCCACCCAGTGTGGGAGAGTTCTCACTCAGTCTGGTAGTTCAATGGGGCACAGAGCTCTTGAATTGAGGATCTCTGGGCCAGGAGGTGGTTGGGGACCAACTGGTCTTAAGCCCTTGGGCTCTCAGATGTCATTGAGAGGCTGTGGAAGGACCGAGACTGGGGGCATGTGGACATGTGACCAGCCAGCCCACAGCCAAGAGAAAGGAGTGGGGGTGGAGGGAGAAGGAAGAGGCCCTGGCAGCGCCCCGAGGGAGAGACTCGGTTACTGTACTTAGTGCTTAGCAGACTCAGCGGCAAGCAGGCTAGCTTGCTTGAAGATGCAGGTCCCTGTGACTGGAATGCAGAGAGATCCTCCATGCGGGAAGTTAGGCACGATGGCTGCATTAAAGGCCTTCTCCATGTTTTCCCATAGCAGGCCCCAAAGACATGAGAAAGTCCATGGTTTCAAAAGGGTTTATTTTCATGGTGGATGGTAAATGGATCTGGATTGTGGCCCCCCCGAAACTCAGGGCAGACCTGAGTTAAATAGGGAGGGAAAAGGGGGAAGGGTCTGGGGAAGAATGCTTAATTGGCTCCACCCTCTAGCCTTCAGGTATCTCATTAGTATGTAAATTCCTCTAGGGCCTGAAGCTTGTAGTCATGCCCTCTACCTGTGCACTTTGGGAGGGGCTGCAATGGCCTATGTGACTAAACAGTGTAGGTCAAATGGAGATCTTAGACCTTGTGTTAGGAGCTTGGATTTTGGGAGCACGGTGGAATGGATACCTGTCCCTTGTAGGATCTGCGGGCTACTTCCAGCCAACGCTCTACCAAAAACCCAACAAAGTATCTTCAGTGTTGAGCAAGGGGGTGGTCTGATGGCTACATCTGGATTAACTGCAGGAAGCTGTGGTCTGTGGCTGCTTCTTGCCCCGAGCCTATGGTAGGATCAGGGCTCAAAGAACAGTTGGGATGCTATAAATTTAGGGTAAGTCTGGAGATCTGGCACTTCTTCAAGGGGAATCATGGGTTCTAGGTCCTGGGACGTGGGGTTGTTGGGGTAGAGTAACTTAGTCAGTGTCCCTTGGATCCTTCTCCAATCTCCAAAATATAAGGAGTTCCAAGTAGGCAGAGAGGCCCTGTACTTCGAGTGAGGAAAGGCCAGATGGCATTAGAGGCCCCCTGTGCCTTACACGTCTTTAAGGGAACTCATACTCTATAGCCTGCTACTTTGTCTTTGTCCTGATGGACCATAAGCACTCCAAGATATAATGGTTGTCCCTTATAGTTCCAGTCAGTGTCTGTGGGTCACAGAGATCCAAGTACAATCTCATTAGTTGATGGAGTCTGACTTCACTGTGACCCCCATGATCTTCATGGGACTTTGTGGGGTCTTGCTAGATGTCTGTCTGTACCAGCCTTTCACAATATGGCTGGATGGATGAAAGGCAAGTCTTGGGTGGCCAAGTGAATGTTTCCACAGCTGGAGGAGCTCATCGGCTTTGGAGGAAGATTGTACAGAGAAGTTCTGAAGTTCTTCCAGGCCATAAGAAGCCTATAGGTCATGGAAAACTGTGATGAGGATAGACTTTGCATGTTTTGATCACACTGAAAAACAAATAAGATGGTGGATAAATAAGTTTTATTTCATAAGGCATAAGGTATATCCAAAGAGGATGTAATATGCACTTACCCAATTTCTATTCACTTTCTTTGTTTTATGTTTTTTTTGAGACTAGATCTTGTTATATGTCACAGGCTGGCTTTGAACTCACCATCCTCCTGTCTCAGCTTCCCCGGTGCTGGAATTGCAGATAGCTGGCATGGTGAGTGGCTAATGTTTATCAGTTCTACTTTTAAAGATATGGGTGTTACCTACAAAGATTTGGGGTATCTTAGTTTGTGATATGAGACATACAGGTGGTGAACATGGTGCACTAAACAACATTTTAATTACTATATAATTTTTTTTTGATCAGTTCAGCTTTTTGCTGAACCTAAACTTCTGCTTTCAGGTTACCCCTGGCCCTACATAAGCTATAATTGTACCTTACATCTCTGGCATTAAGCCTCAGAGACTCTTTTCCATTGGGCAGGTGTTCAGTTACTTTCTATGGCCCCTCTAAGCCCTGGGGACCTGCTTCACAACCCAGGAACCTTCAGAGATCTGGATATCAGTCAGGCGGAGCCGTCCAGAGCTCCAGGGATGAGGTTAGACAAGCAGCTGTGAGTGAAAACAGTTGAGCTTGCATCCCAACCACAGCCTGGTAGTTTGCAGATGTCCCTTTGGGAGAGACCTCCACAGATGGTGACCATGGGCACTGGGGTGTGCCTTCGGGTGATGCAAACCAGAAACAACCTGGGGTTTGGCTACACAGATCCATCTGCTCTGGAATAGCTTTGGCCATCAGAGGAGGAGCAATCCTTTTTCCAGGATAACTACACTGCAAGTGGGGCTGGAGTTGACTTTGAACTTGAGGGTCAATGAAGCTCAGAGCAAGACAGACGACACTAGGTACTACCCTCAGGCAGTGTGAAGTTCTCCTTCTGTTGCTGCTGTTGGGCCCAGTGGTTGGTGTCCACCACACACTTTCCCCAAGCTCAGCACAAAGGAGCAGAGCTGTGGGCCCTGGTACTTCAGTGGGAAGCAGCAGGCTGAGCCTGTGGACCCTTCCAGGCAGGTAAGGGACTTGCTTATGGGGGAATGTATGTGTGTAGGTCCATGGACTGGAGGCTGGAATGGGTGTCTGGGAAAGAAGATGGCCTTTGAGGCCATAGGTGTGAGAAGGAAGTATCTGCCTAAGAGAAGGGGGCCAGGCAAATGCTAGCTTAAAGTTAGTACCTCGATCTTGCAAGGCCAGTGTTCTACCAATGAGCCACATCCATAGCCCACATCTCTTTTCCATTTATTTTGAGAAGTCTTGCTAGGTTGCCCAGGCTGACGGTACTCTCTGTAGCCTATGCAAGATTTGAACTTCCTATATCGTTCTAGATCCCTCCTCCTTCCTAAGTCCTCTTTAGTAGCTGGAATTAACACAGTGGTACCAGGTTATTTTATCATGTCATGTCCTAATTCATTTAGGACTGTGTGTGTTCATCTTAGTCAAATAGTTGCAGTTCTAGAAGTTTACTCTTAGGTAATTATCAAAACATCCATTAAATATTCTGAGAGTGTCGTGGAGTGGGAGGAGTAAACACTGTGGCTATGGAGACCACACAGTCAAGAAGACCTTGCCTGTCAAGCATGAGGATCTAGTTCATACTCTCAACAACCATGAATCTACTATTAAGATATGATCATATGTTTTTACTCAGATAAATAGAAAAAAAAAAGGTTAGTGTGCTGGCACACCCCTTACATCCCAGCAGTTGGGAGGCAGAGGCAGACAGACCTCTGTGAGTTTGAGGCCAGCCTTGTCTTTGTAGTAGCCTCATGATGGAAATGAAAACAAACGAATCCTCACAATATAGTGTGCATGGGTCCTGGAAGGAAGCACAGGACCAGGAGGAACTGATGCATGCATGTACACATGCACATATGCATGCACGCACACATATGCACAGACACAAATACACACCAGAGATTCCCAGTTCCACCACATTCACCAGAGAAGATACACCACCCAGGAATTTTCTGAGAATCTGCTGGCCCTGGTGTTGCCATCAATACTGAAAAAATTCAGAGATGGAAGTAGGAGATGGATAGATGGACTTGTTGGGATGCTGGCTGCTCATCTATTTTCTGCCAAGGACACAGGTCATTTCCTGAAGTCCTGTGCCTGACTCGTCCAACAGGTTCCTGTTCCAGATCATCCCACGGGGAGCAAGTCCCAGGTGTTGGCCCCATAGGCTTCCATCTGAGTCCCAGTTATGGTATGTCTTTGGTGGTGGGACCCAGCTCACAATACTAGGTAAGTGGTTTTCATGGTCTTATGATCCAACTGTTTCAGGAAAGTCCATTTTGCTCTGGGGAGTTCTTCCCATCTGCTTTTCCTAGTCTTGCAGTCTGAACTGTACCTTTTTCTGTGAATGAGGGAAAGGCAGTAGTTATAAGGTAAACCACATGAAAGGTCCCAATAGCTTCATCTGCTCTTTTAAGGCAGATGCCCAAGAAGGGATCAGAGAATGAGTTTTTCAAGCCATAGAGACCCCTACACCTCAACATTGAATCTGAGGTCCGGATGCCCATCCAGACTAAGGCTACATAGTAGGTGCAGGAATATGGCTGTTGCCATGAATCATTGCTGCCTTCAAAGATTCAGGCCACCATAGATAGAAAACCACAGAGGCTGAGAGAGGACTCTGGCTCAGTCTAATCTTCTGCTGGCCCATGAGGTCACAGAGACACAGAAAGGCTCTGAGTGACCAGGTAACTAGGACCAGTTCCTCCCAGGATGATTACTAGAAAAAAGATGTAGACTGTATATTGTTCCTGAGGCCTTTCAGGCCTGGAGCCCATTGTCTAACTTATCCATCTTCCTCAAGTATCCTTAGACTTAGATGAGGAATGAGGGAGCAAATGGTGCCAAGTGAAATCAGGAGTCACCAGAGACTTCCGAGGTGGTGAGGGGTTTGCTATCCATCCTAGTCTGGGAGACAGAGCCCAGGAACATAGGCAGTGTTGGTGTTGTGATTACTGTGGACAAAGCATGGGGTCCTTCGAGGAGTTCCTAGGATGTTTCAGGGTGGAAGCTAATCCTTGGTGAGGTAACTAAGTGGAATCTGGAGCACAGGTCCCGAAGTCCTTGTACAGCAGGCACACCTCAGGACCAGTTCCCCAGGACCAGCCATTCTCAGAGGAGGCTCTGAGCATTGGAGAAGCAACGAGGGTTGGGGAACTGCCCTCCACTCTACCCGCAGGCCAGGGTCAAATCCCAATTCAGATTCCAGCTCCTAGGGGCTAGAGAGTACAGCTGGCCTTAGTCTCAGTGGGGAAACAAAGATTGGAAAGGGCTGGGGCTGAGTCATTTCACCTGGAAGAGGAACATGATCTAATGGGTGCCAGCCTGTCTGCTGTCCAGTGGACTCAAGTGGGCAGAGGAGAAGAAGGAAGCATTCCTGGATAGAACACTGTGATACTGTAGTGAACAGTCACAGAGCTGATAAGAGAAGGATGCTTCCTTATCACAGGAGCTCTCCTATGCCAACTCTTGTCCCCTTCTCTATCTGTGCAGGTCAGCCTAAGTCTGACCCCTTGGTCACTCTGTTCCTGCCTTCCTTAAAGAATCTCCAGGCTAACAAGGCCACACTAGTGTGTCTGGTGAGCGAATTCTATCCAGGTACTTTGGTGGTAGACTGGAAGGTAGATGGAATACCTGTCACTCAGGGTATAGAGACAACTCAACCCTCCAAACAGACAAACAACAAGTACATGGCCAGCAGCTACCTGACACTGATGTCTGACCAGTGGACGCCTCACAGTAGATACAGCTGCCGGGTCACTCATGAAGGAAACACTGTGGAGAAGAGTGTGTCACCTGCTGAATGTTCTTAGACCATGATCCTCCCTGAAGCCTTAGGGGCCTGGATCTGAAGTGCCAGAAAAAAAAAGTTGTTTTTTTCTCCCACTAACCATCCCACTCTCTTTCCTGTGCCTAAAACTCAATAAATATCTTATCACCATCAAGAGAGTCTTGTCTATCTCATCACTTGCATGCCCGGGGAGTCCTGGGACTCAGTGGGAAACTAACCCAGAGGAGAGTACCCAATCTGAGTATTCTCTGGAAAATAGTGTTGTTGTTAAAATTCCTTCCTAGGGGAGACATATGCAACATATACCTCTCCTGCTAAGGTCCCAACAACAAGTCAAGGTATGATTTCATCAAAGTTCATTCTGGGAAACCAATGAGTTTCTTCGCTTCCTTACAGAAATAGGTGAGTGGTTATTTACTGGGATGTGGGTGCCCCCCTCTCCTAATAGGCTGCACCTGAAAATCCTTACCCAGAAGGGTGAGGGCCTGTCCATATCCTCACTAATTAAGGCAGAAATGTATTCAACAGATTGAAGAGAAGATCTTGATACTCAGGTAAGAATCTCACACCCCTTTCCATCTCTTCATTTGGAGGTATAAACCATCAACAAACCCAACAGGAATGATTTTTTTTATAGTGGGGTGCAGCTGAATGCCCCAAGATGACAGTTTCTTGGGTTGGTGAACAGCCACTCACTGTTGGAGATTGGTTCTGATGCTTTGATTCAAGAATCTGTATGCCCAAACACTAAAGATCCTTGTCTCCAATTGGTTTGGGGTCCTGGTCCCCAAATGGCCAATGGCTGGCATGGGGCAGGACCCTAGAGTTTTGCAGGCTAGGAGACAGGGGAGAGAGAAGGAATCGCCATGAAGTGAGAGACTGCAGGAGAGAAAGCCAACCAGCCATGTGAGAATTTAGGTGGGCAGCCATTGGCCACTTTCCTAACTGGGCCTGGGGTAGCAGGGGAAGCTTTAGGAGTTCGCCTTTGAGATAGCCAAGGCATTTTAAAATTAACCGGTGCGTGTGCGTGTGCGTGCTTGTGGGAATCCAAAGAGTTCCTGGGTGGGTGGCTGGAAGTATGAGATCCATCGGGTACACAAAGCGGTGTAGCTAGCTAAAAATGGCTACAACTCACAATTCAAAGAGTTTATTTGGCTTATACTTCCATATTCCTGTGAAGTTGGGACAGGAACTCACATAGAGCAGGAACCTGGGGTCAGTAGCTGATATAGAGGCCATAGAGGATCTTATTACTTACTGGCTTGTTTCTCATGACTTGCTTAGCTTACTTTTTTTTTTTTTTTTTTTTTTTTTTTTTTTTTAATAGAACTCAGGAATGGCATCACCAACAAGGGACTGGGCTTTCCCTCATTAGTCACTAATGATAAAACGCTCTACAGGCTTGCCTATAGTCGGATCTTAGGGAGGACTTTTCTCAATTGAAGTTCCCCCTTCTCAGTGGACTTTAGCTCGTGTTAAGTTGACATAAAACCAGCCAGTACAATGCCTCAACAGAATGAATACATATGACAAACCACACCTAACATCACTCTAAGTGAAGCAAAACCTGAAGCAATCACATTGAAATCAGGGCTAAGACAGGGCTGTCCACAATTGCCACTCCTTTTCAATATGGTACTTGACACACTAGCTAGAGAAATAAGACAAGAGGAGGAAACTAAAGGGCTATAAATAGGAAAAGAACCCATCAAAGTATCTCTACATAAACAGACACAAAAAATTCCACCAGGAAACATTTAGAAATGACCAACAAGTTCAGCAAAATGGTCTAATATAAGCTTAACTTACAAAAATTAGTAGCCATTCTGTTTACCAACAACAAACTCTGAGAAATTCATCATGGACACCCTTACATTTGCAATAGCAATAATGACTTTTTCTAAAAATTAGCTTGAACATGGAAGTGAAAGACCTCTACAATGATGATTTTAAATCTCCAAAGAAAGAAATTGAGGAAGACACCAGAAGACAGGAAGATTTCCCATGATCATAGCTTGGTTTGAATATGCTTGGCTCTTGGGAAATGGCACTATTAGGAGTAGTGGCTTTGTTGGAGTAGGTGTAGCTTTGTTGGAGGAAGTGCATCACTGTGGCTTTGAAGCTTCACCCAGTGTGGAAGAGACTCTCTTCCTGGCAGCCTGCAGAAGAGCCAGCTTCCTCCTGGCTACCTTCAGATTAAGATATAGAACTCTCAGCTCTTCTCCAGTACCACATCTGCCTGGACACTGTCATGCTTCCTACCAAGATGATAATGGTCTGAACATACGAAACTGTAATCCAGCCCCAATGAAATGTTATCCCTTATAAGAGTTGCCTTGGTCTTAGTGTCTCTTCACAGCAATAAAACTCTAAGATTTTGTGAAATTAATATTATGAAAATGACCGTTCTACCCAAAGCAATTTACAGAACCAATATAACTCCAGTCAAAATACCCACATTACATATATATATTTTTGTATTTTTTATTGGATATTTTCTTTATTTACATTTTAATTGTTTTCCCCTTTCCAGGTCTCCCCTTTGAAAACCCACTATCCCATCTCCTCTCCCCCTACCTCTATGAGAGTGACCCCCACCCACCCACCCCTGTCTTCTCGCCCTGGCATTCGCCTACACTGAGGCATTGAACACCCTCAGGCCCAAGGTAATGCTCCTCCCACTGACGTCCAACAAGGCCATCCTCGGCCACATATGGAGCCAGAGCCATGGGTCCCTCCATGTGTACTCTTTGGCTGGTGGTCCAGTCCCCAGAAGCTCCAGGGAAGGGTCTGGCCAGTTGACACTGTTGCTCCCTCCATGGGGCTGCAAGCCTCCTCAGCTCCTACAGTCCCTTCTCCAACTCCTACATCAGGGACCCCGTGCTCAGTCCAATGTTTGGCTTCGAACATCTGCCTCTGTATTTGTCAGGTTCTGGCAGAGCCTCTCAGGAGACAGCCATATCAGGTTCCTGTCAGCAAGCACTTCCCAGCACCGGCAATAGCCTCTGGGTTTGGTGACTGTATATGGGATGGCTCTCCAGGTGGGGAAGTCTCTGGAAGGCCTTTCCTTCAGTCTCTGCTCCACACTTTGTCTCCATATTTCCTCCCATGAGTATTTTGTTCCCTCTTCTAAGAAGCACTGAAGTACCCACACTTTGGTGTTCCTTCTTCTAGAGCTTCATGTGGTCTGTGAATTGAATCTTGGGTATTCTGAACTTTTGGGCTAATATCAGTGAGTGCATACCATGTGTGTTCTTTTGTGACTTGATACCTCACTGAGGATGATATTTTCTAGTTCCATCCATTTGCCTAAGAATTTTATGAAGTCATTGCTTTTAATAGCTGAGTAGTACTCCATTGTGTAAATGTACCACATTTTCTGTATCCATTTCTCTGTTGAAGGACATCTGGGTTGTTACCAGCTTCTGGCTATTATAAACAAGGCTGATATGAACATAGTGAAGCATATGTCCTTGTTACATGTTGGGGCATCTTCTGGGTATATGCCCAGGAGTGGTATAGCTGGGTCTTCAGGTAATACTATGCCCAATTTTCTGAGGAACCACCAGACTGATTTCCAGAGTAGTTGTACCAGCTTACAATCCCACCAACAATGGAGGAGTGTTCCTCTTTCTCCACATCCTTGCTAGCATCTGCTGTTACCTGAGTTTTTGATCTTAGCCATTTTGATTGGTGTGAGGTAGAATCTCAGGGTTGTTTTGATTTGCATTTCTCTGATGACAAAGGATGCTGAACTTTTCTTTAGGTGCTTCTCAGCCATTCAAGTTCCCTCAGTTGAGAATTCTCTGTTTTACTTTGTATCCCATTTTTAATAGGGTTATTTGGTTGTCCGGAGTCTAATTTCTTGAGTTCTTTGTATATATTAGTTATTAGCCCTCTATCGGATGTAGAATTGGAAAAGATCTTTTCCCAATCTATTGGTTGCCATTTTGTCCTATTGACAGTGTCCTTTGCCTTACAGAAGTTTTGCAATTTTATGAGGTTCCATTTGTCTTTTGTTGAACTTAGAGCATAAGCCATTGGTGTTCTATTCAAGAACTTTCCCCCGTGCCCATGTGTTTGAGGCTTTTCCCCACCCTCTCTTCTGTTAGTTTCAGTGTATCTGGATTTATGTGGAGGTTGTTAATCCACTTGGACTTGAGCTTTGTACAAGGAGATGAGATTGGAGTCATACCAAGATATTTTATATTATTTGTGACTGTTATCAAGGGTGTTGCTTTCCTAATTTCTTTCTCAGTCCATTTATCCTTTGAGTAGAGGAAGGCTACTGATTTGTTTGAGTTGATTTTATAACCAGCCACTTTGATGAAGTTGTTTTTTCAGGTTTAGGAGTTCTCTGGTGGAAGTTTTGGGGTCACTTAAGTATACTATCATATATCAGCAAATAGTGATATTTTGACTTCTTCCTTTCCTATCTGTATCCCTTTGACTTTCTTTTGTTGTCTAATTGCTCTGGCTAGGACTTCCAGTACTATATTGAATAGGTAGGGGGAGAGTGGGCAGCCTTGTCTAGTCCTTGATTTTGGTGGGATTGCTTCAAGTTTCTCTCAAGTTAGTTTGATGTTGGCTACTGGTATGTTGCTTTTACTATGTTTGGGTATGGGCCTTGAATTCCTGATCTTTCCAAGACTTTTAACATGAAGGGATATTGAATTTTGTCAAATGCTTTTTCATCTAATGAAATGATCATATGTTTTTTTCTTCTAGTTTTTTTTTTTTATGTAGTGGATTACATTGATGGATTTCCATATATTGAACCATCCCTGCATCCCTGGGATGAAGGCTACTTGATCGTGGTGAATGATCGTTTTGATGTGTTCTTGGATTTGGTTTGTGAGAATTTTATTGAGTATTTTTACATCAATATTCATAAGGGAAATTGGTCTGAAGTTTTCTTTCTTTGTTGGATCTTTGTGTGGTTTTGGTATCAGTGTAAACTGTGGCTTCATAGAATGAATTGGAAAGTGTTCCTTCTTTTTCTATTTTGTGGAATAGTTTCAAGAGTATTGATACTAGGTCTTCTTTGAAGGTCTGATAGAATTCTGCACTAAACCCTGGGCTTTTCTTGGTTGGGAGACTTTTAATGACTGCTTCTATTTCTTTAGGGGTTATGGGATTGTTTAGATGGT